ATGCTGATGATGATGTCAGAATGATTCTACAGAAAATTTAGCGAGGGAACTATTTGGGAAATTGTATTTCGAAAAGGGGCATGAAACTCAATGCCATAATGATAAATTGGATTTAGAGCAGACACAAGTTTGCTCTGTGGATGATGGCGTCTTGCGCTGAAGATAATTAGTAAGAATAATTACTATTGAGGTTATATTGACGAAGTCAATAATGAGAGCAAAGAAGAGAAGATTTTCCCACACCCTCGTCTCCCACACTCCTCCCTTCTACTGGTTTCCACTAACCCAACTACTTGCCCCGTTTCTTTTTTTGTTGCTGCCATCGTGATGGCATTTGTGGCATTCTTGACCATAAGCAAGGACTGCCCTCTGCGTTGTTGGCTGCTAGTAGTAAGGACAGTGCCCCCATTGGATTGCCGTCTGGCAGCTGCTAGACTACTAAGTCCCAATCATATCCATGCGACTGTAACTGCATTGCATGAAATCACAGTCGGACTGGATAGTAAAGAATCCCCTGAAGTCTGAGTCGCATTCCACTGGAATGTTGCTGGTCCCATTCTTGTCCGGTGGATTGTTGCTGGTCCCATTCTTGTCCGCTGGATTGTTGCTGGTCCCATTCTTGTCCGCTGGATTGTTGCTGGTCCCATTCTTGTCGGCTGGATTGTTGCTGGTCCCATTCTTGTCCGCTGGGTTGGTGCTGGTCCCAGACATGTTATCTCCAGGATTGCTGTGGCTACTTGCCGGGGGGAGGGTAACGATTTCCAACAACCTTACCTCGAGTCTCCTACCTCGATGCAACCCCCACCCTCCCCCACCCCCCCCTCCTCTACCTTTCCACCCCTCCCTTCCTGCCCCATCGGAGCCACCAAACCCTGTCTCCCTGCTGATTACACCAAGCCTTTGGTTGGGGCTTCGGCCTCTATGCCATCTGTGGTTCTGACCTTCGGGATCGTGCCACACACCAGCAACTCCATTTCCCCTGCTGCTAATTCTCCCAAGCCTTCAATTTTGGTTTCCGTCATTAGCCCGCCCCTGGGTTTCCATCTTGGGCAGCCGCCCCTGCGTTTTCACATTGGCAATCCGCCCCTGGGTTTCCCTCTTGGGCACCGTCAGGCGCCGGAGAATTGTCCATGTGATTTTCCGGGGCGGGGGTTGGCTCTTGACCTCCATGTCCGCAACAATGGCCTCTTTCAGACCTTAAAAAACAGACAAGCCCAATGACAAGAATGATCACTGCCAAGGACCCCGCTACCACAGGAATTATCACGGTGCCTAGTAATCTGACGGATGATTTTTCGGATTCGGGACCAGCAGTCCGAGAATCGCTAGACGGGGAGGATGAGGGCGGGGGGTAATCCGATGATGGCGAAACAGATTCTGAGAGGGGCAAGGGAATTATATCTCCTTCGTCGGAGTCCTCCAATGACCGAGAAGAAGGAGGAGATGGTGGAGTGGAACCAGGTGAGACCTGGGAAGGCATAGGTTCCAAGCAACTGTTGCAACATTTCAGATCTTCATGCGCCGGAGCTTCGCTTGTAACGGGGGCAACCACGTTTTCAATCCGGAGTGGGAGGCTGCTGTTGCAATTGAATGGCGGGAGGGTATCTTCGCATTTCATTGCGGCGCTGCAGCTGCTGGAAGGTAAACAAATGGCCAGTGTGCAATTTTGCAGACCGAGGGCATCCTGTGATGATCCGCATTTTGATTGATATTGATATCGGGATATCGATTCCGACAGTGTAGGGAATTTCATGAAACGTCAAGCAGTAATTTTGCGTCCGGCGTGTGGATTCATCAAGTGCGCCCCCCAAAAGTGCGCAATGCAATGAATTCCCGAGTGGACCCTCCCTCTCCCCTCCCCCCCCCCCCCCCCCCCCCCCCCCCACACACACACACACACACACACACACACACTGCCATGAGAAAAACGATTGGAAAACAACATAACAGGAAAAACAATCATAACAACAGACAACCGAACATAAAAACGATGAAAATAACAACAAACATCAAAATTTAATGACATCAGCAAACAGCAACAACAACAACAACAACAACAACAACAACAACAACAACAGGAGCAGCAGCAGCATTAGCAGCAACACTGACAACAACAACGATAACCACAATCATTATGGTGAGAACAATGAAAACAGTGACCGTAACATGGGGAGGCATCAAGAGGTCACGCGAGTGTATTATCGTATTGGTGGACTTGCCAGAGGTGGTATAGGAACCGCACTGATGCTCCGGGACCCCAAAATAGAAATGGAGCCAGGCCTGGAAGGACCTATTAACAGTAACACTAACAATCTGAGAATCATAAATAAATAAAAAAAAACAATCTGAGAATCTACGAAAAGCACCTCCTGGTGGATCTTCGGAGGCAGGGAACGACGATGGAAAGTTTTGGAGAGTGTGGGGGGCCTACCCAAGCCTGTTCAAGACTCAAGAGGGACCCCACAACGAGCAGAATGGTATTTGGCCTGACTCTGCAAAAGTATCCGGTCGATGTGGAAGAGTAGCGTAGGTCGACATGTACAATAGTTTGCAAAAGATTTAGGAAGCAGAATATATTAGGTCCTTGTACATTAAGGGGAGCCGAGGGAGGGGAAGGGGTGGGAGGAGTAGGATACCACGTTCGGGGGAGCAAATATAGAGGGAAAAGGGCGGGGATGTGGATACTGGAATGATGACTCAGAGTGGTTACTAGTGGATCTACTTGCAGGGAGAGGGAACTGCAGGTCGAAAGTGGTAAGGCGGTTAGGGAGGAGGAAAGGCGGGGGGGGGGGGGGGGGGGGGGGGGGGGGGGGGGGGGGGGGGGGAAGTAAAGGGTAAATAGGTGTAGGGATTCCGAAGATGTATAGGAGGCAGGATAAGCAAAAATGCAAAGTATAAGCAACAAGATAGACAGATGCGGAACACCTAGTATGTAGCATTGGCAGGGAAATGAGTACAGGAGTAGCCTTAAACTGTGCATGCTGATGGAAGAAGACGAGTGGGAGGCCCAGAGACTCGAGGGATAGGCTTGTGCCTCAAACCTACCCCCCCGGAGGTGCATAGTGTGTGTCAGGGTACCGAGCAGAGGTTTCCTGGCCACTATGCGCCCCCGGATGGGAATACTGCCGGGAGGCACAGCGCTGCCCCCAGCCCCCATTGCACCTCGTCCAGGGCAACAGGGGTACGGGGCCGTATCCTTTCTTTCTGCCTATTCTTTCCTCTTGTGGAACGTGCTTGGCGGTGGTAAGCAAACCGGCACGTTGCCCCCCAGAATAGATGGGGCTGGAATGTCCCC